AATTCTTCATCTTCGATGCTCTACAATCTTGATTAAGGGTGCTCGGCCATTAGGCTGTTGGATTAGCAGATAATTAGTACTAAACTTGATAGTGTCAGTGATTTGACAGCGACAAGCAAACATCCAAAATTGATGGTCGAAATGAAATGCAACTGGTGCCATCTTCTTGTATGTTCTTCCCCATCATGTAAGCTCCAACTTTTACATTTGGATCAACTGAAGTTGCTTAGCAAAATTTGGAGAACGCGGAATGCCCAATGATGACAATGGATTCAGACTTAGAAATTTTTCTAAATCGAAAACAATTGTCAATCCAAAGTTCGAGCCTCGATTTGACTTACTTCCAAGCTGATCTAGCTCTTAGTCCAAAAACAAAGTTTGTTCTACATGATATGGACTACAACTTTCATTTAAGGTCCAACCTCAAAACTGGTATAGAACCTACTGTTCTAGTTTGACCAAAGTAGGATCACTATGAAACTTAAATTATCCGTTGTGACCCATTGTGGCATTTTCTTGGCATTTGCTCAACATGAACCTTTCATGACTTTTGTTGTAGAGTTAATCTAGAGTCATTTGGGCAAGGTTGCAAGGTTTGATTGATGATCGAGAATTCCCTTTACTTTATGAATAATTCAAGCAACGACATAACTCGTCATTTCATGTGACTTCTTGATTCCAAACTTCACGAAACTTTTCCATGGATCAATATAGGTGGTTATTGATGTGAGACACACGAAGATATTCCAATAACACCACCCAAGCATATATCTTGAAAAGGGGTCTATAGGCGAGCAAAGGTGCAATCTCCAAGTTTAGGTTGGGGCTCGTTTCTATAGGTTCGACCTTGACATCTTCATCATCACTTAATATACCATGTTTTAGCTCAAACCCATTGCTTAACTGGTGGCAAACACCTGGGGTGTTACATGTCGGCGGCGTGGACGACGAGCACGAGGTGGACGAGCCCACCGGCAGCACGAAGGATGAGCGTGAGGGGACCCGCCGGCGGCGTGGAGGACAAGCACGGGGAGGAGGAGCCCGACGACGGCGTGGAGGACAAGCCTAGGAGTTCGAAGGTTGGCCCACCGACAGGTTTGACAACCGCTCCGGGCACCTTTAGAGTGAAGGGTGGAAAGGGATGGGCCCGCTAGCGGCCAGTACCCGGGCGCTCGAGCGCCGCGGGCACCCCGGCCCACATTCGAGTCTCGGGCGGATACGATCCATGGTTTTTCCTCGAAGAAAGGCAGAGAGCCCTCGGGACTGGTCGAACGGACCCGAGAACTATATGGATTGATCGCTGAGAATCTAGAGTCGGTCACCAGCTAACCCAAGCCAGACCCCCGCAAACGGGATGCCGGGGCCCCACTCGGACTAGCCCGTTAACAGCCCACCGAGCACCATGATTCGTCCACAGAGGAAAATCATGGCACGGCTCAGCCCCTCCATTTTTATCGGAAAAACGCATGGGGGAAGACGATCACAAAGACGAGCCGACCCTCGACCGGACCCCTGACACGGACGGGGGCTCGAGGAAAGTTAGACTCGCAAGGAGACTGAACGTGCGGTCGCAGAACGACAGACCCCCTTAGGGGTTGGAATCAAGAAAGACCTTTTACGACCTACCAAATCTCACGACTATACCCCCGAGGGGTCTGATTACGACGAAAGGGAATCGTCGTCCCCAGGACACGTCGTGGGCGACAAAAGAAGGCCGAGGCCCTGAGAGTCCTCCCGTTCGAAAAAGCCTCCGAAGGAGTATTCTACTCCTCCGCATACTCGGGGGCTACTGTCGGGGACCAATACTAGGGTACCCGAAGAGAAGGAGCTAATAGTCATCAACGTTGATTCATCCGAGCAGTCAAGAGCGTGACTATAGCTCCAACCGCCCCCCAGGTGCGTAGGCTCCGCCTCGCCCAACCCCTGGGGGCGGGCTCCGTCTCGCCCAACCCCTCAGGCGCGGCTCCTGACGGAAGCCCATACCGCCGTCAACCACTACGGGTCAGAAAGTATAACCTAAGGTCAAACTTCTGGCATCGTGTAGGGAGTGGGCACATCTCAACACGACCCGTGCCCCGTGACATGTCATTCAAGGGAACTCACATCATCAACAGTGATAGACGCGTGGTCACTATACTGCCTACTCCTGACGGCCGCTGACCAGCACGCTGGTTCGCCGCGTCGCCCGTCGGGACGGAATGGGACGTCACGACCCGCTAACAACGCCAAGGCGTGGCATCAGAGGCGGACAGGCGCCCGACGTGGAGCTATCCCTGTCACCATCTACAGTGTCGACGGGACCCGCACAAAGGAAAAGAAAGGCTCGACGATCCTGAAAGTCTTCCTCTCCTTGCGTCTTCTCCATCTGTAACCTGCTTTCCCCCTTCGCCTATAAAAGGGGAAGCAGGACGTCCCGGGAAGAGGAGGGTTCACCACTCTACACGGCTGTAGACATCAAAACATATGTCTTAGGAGCACACGCACATCAGAGACTTGGGACCTGTCTCTCTCTCGCTCGTTTGTAACCCCTACTATAAACTTTCAGTGCTAGTAACACGAGCAACAGTGACGAACTGGACGTAGGGACTTTCTACCTAAACCAGTATAAACCTCGTGTCCTCTAAGCACACCATCCGAGCTAGACGCACAATACTAGAAATTTACTAGTTGGTAACTCAAAACACCGACAAAGCATGTATAATATTTTGTTGAATTTAGACAATACAATTTGTCCTGAATTATCACAATCATTGGTAAAAATGTTGATATTTACTAAAACAATTCTCCAAAACTTATGAAACTTCACCATAGCATGCAAAATTGGCGGTGGCAGGCGGCACGTGGACTGGTTGAGCAGCGCGCCAGGAGAGGTCTGCGGTGGTCAGCCAGAGCTAGAGGTTGAAGAAGCTGACATGTGGGTCCCATACGTAAGTGAGTGGAAGGAGAGGGCAGCAAGGGTAAATAGGCCATTTCACATGTTCTGTAGAGGTTCCTAGGCTCGTGGTGGTATGCTTACCTGGCGTGCCACGTCAGCGAAAGTGGTAAAAACCTAGGAGATTTAGGCTCGTGGTGGCATGCTTATCTGACGTGTCACGTCAACGAAAGTGGTAAAAACATATGAGATTTACTATTCATGATAACAATTGTACAGGAGCATAAAACTGGCAAACAGATGAGTGGAAAAAAAAAGTTTAAAAATCCCTTCCCTTTCCACGGACGCATCCAGCAGGCAGGAGCGCAGCTCGATCTTTCCTCTTCCCTACGGACGCGTCCAGGCAGCGGAGTGGGGCTCGGACGCGGAGCTCGCCCGCGAGACGGCGGCGCGCGGCGCGGAGCTTACCCGTGAGATGCGGGGCGCGGCTGGGGCGCGAGCACGCATACAGGCGGCGAGGTGGGGCTCGGCCGCGCGGCGGTGAGGCGGAGCTCGCCTGGGAGGCGGTGAGGTGGGGCTCAGCCGCGCGTTCGCTCGCGCGGCGGCGGGGCGGAGCCCGATCGCGAGGCTCCGGCAAGTCCGGTCCTCTTCTTCCTCATGTCCGGCAACTCCTCAGCTCGGGCAAGTCGCTTCTTCCTGAGCTCCGGCAAGCCCCGCTCCTCTTCTTTCTCGCGCGTTTAGCGCGCTTGCGTCACTCATCCCACCCTGTCCGCCGAATTTGAGGGGACTAGCTCGCCCCCGATTCCCTGTTATATTCGTACCTAGGATGACCTTGACTCTACTCGCCCCAACCAAACACCTGAAAAAAGGCCATCCCCATCCTACCTCATCCCATCCCCAACCAAACTACCTAACAGGTTCATCGGTATTGGATCTCTAACCACTAGTTTTAGATCTGATAGCCCGTTAACATGTGTTTACACCCACCGAACATGGTTTAGAAAAATGGTTCCACCTGGTATTTATTTTATTTGAAATGGCCAAATTGATACGGAAACCACTTTCTCAGCATCTTCTTTTGCCGTTCACCCGGCGTGCTATCTCACCCTCTCCTGTCTGCAGCAACCGCCGACGCCCAACCTGCTCTCTCACCCTCTTCGTCTGCAGCAACCGCCGCCAGGTGCCAGATCGGCGTCCCTTCCCGCCATTCGTCGCGTCTTTCGCCGGCGTCGAAGCATCAGGTGTGCTCACCCTTTCTCTTCCGTTCCTGCTGTGCGAAACCGGGACCCAACCCTAACTTAAGCTATTTGTACTCGGATATGCTGAGGGAAATGAACAGTTTGCGCTTCTTCTATTTCAATTACAGATTTAAACAGCCTCATAGGCGTGCCCTATGGCCTATGGGTGAAAATGGTACGGATATTTCTCTTTATCCGAGACCGAATTCGTTTAGAGGGGTTCAGATTTGTCTGTATATCTGAGTCTGTATATTTAACATCCGATACTCAAATCGCATAATTATAATGTCGATATCCATTCGTATTTGATCTGACATATCTGATACTATCCATATTCGAATCCGAATCCGAATCCGAATAGAAATATGAAAACAAATGTAATATCAACGATATCCGTCCATATCCGATCCGTTTACATCCCTACCTATGGGTATAAAATGGGCACTACATTTGTTCAATCTATCAAATGAAGCAATTCACCATCTTTTTTCAGTTTTGGTCATACTGAACACCTATAGTACCTCAATTGGGGTCTGATTTGATATATCCGAGACCTTATTCAGATGACACTTCGTGAAGTGTTACACAGTTAATGAATGTCAGACTAAATATTCTGTACAATTTCCTTTTGATTTGTTTGTCTCAGATCTTACATACAAATCCTTTCTAAGCTATATATATGATTGGCTACTGGCCTACTGCTTGTTTTAAAGTTTTGATTAATTTATTTTTTTTGTCTTAATAATACAGCACTGTACCTGCTTCAGTTATAGTTATCTGATATCTACCCTTGGCCAAGGCAAGCTACCTATTGTGCCTACGATTTTTGTTAGGAGCTGTAATAGTTCAGTTTTTGGTGGGAGCAGTCACAGTTGTTCTCAACTGAAGACATGGCTTTAAAATCTAGTAGATGCTCAGATGAAAGCTATATAGAACCTGTCCTATGCTGGAAGAAGGAATTCAGATCTTCTGTGATTAAAATTGTTGATTCGTCCTTGAACTCGAGTTTGATGCCTGTCGACAGTATTTGTTCAATTCCTGCTTCAGAAGATGGTTTCCATCTGAATAAACGAAGGAAGATGGATGAGGAATGTGATCACCTTCTGACAAATGGAAATATGAGAGATGGTAGTATGACAAACTTCACAACCACTGGATATATCTCATCTCCAGAGCACAACACGGATGGCCAATCATTTATGGTTAATTCAAGTGCAGAATTTTCAGCAGGATCACGTTCTAATGTCAATGTCAATACTAGCCAGCCATCATCCTCATCAAGTGCACCATCTTATATCAGTCAGATTCTTAAAGATGCTTGGGAGTGTTCATTGCCTGATACAAATACTGCAACTGCAAAACCAGTAACAGAGTTAACATCAGCGAGGGACCTTTGCATCTCCATCCTTAAAAGAAAAATATGTCCCGCTAAAGACTCAGAACTAAGCAGAACATCAAGTACTATAGACCGTGATGATAATCTAAACAGTCCTTTATTTGAATGCATGAAATGCGGGTTGATGGAAGATCCATCCAAAATGTTAATTTGTGATTGTTGTGAAGGAGCATTTCATTTATTGTGTTGCAATCCAATAGTCAAGAAAATACCAGAGGAAGAGTGGTATTGTTTGGCCTGTAAAAAAAAGAAACCTAAGAGCCAACGTGGAAAGTTGACAAATCCCAAAGTTAAATCATCCAAGGACATTGAAAGACCTCGTCGAGGTCTTGGTCCTATTCGAGATATGTTAGTGGATTCTGAATCATATGAAAGTGACGTGAGGATTGGTAGTAAGTTTCAAGCAGAAGTTCCAGAATGGTCTGGTCCTATTTCCAGGTATGCTCACTTACTCTTGATGAAGTTACTTTAAGATTTATTTTTAATGCAATTAATGCGATAGGAGAGGCAACTTCAACTTAACTAACAATTTCTATTCATGAAAAATGGTAATTTATTTTTGGTTAAAGTCCACTTTTAACCTTCATCTTGCATGACAATCCGATTTGCAACCTTGAACTACGAAACCGGGTATGCTCTCCAATTGTTGAAACCGTACAAATTTGGTGTTTTCAAAAAGTCATAAAAAACTGGTTTATCTGCGAAAGTTCATAACTAATTTTATCTTAAATTAGAAAAACATGAAACTAGCACCGATCATTTTTATAAAAATGTTATCTATCTGTTGGTACTCTACTTGGAGTTATTTGGATCTTGTTTATTCATATTCTTAGTGTTTCATTGCCATTAGTCACACCTGTTTACTTTATGTTGATTGCATGATGTTTAAGGCACTACCTTTTTTGAAACCTACAACTTAGTCAGGCAATCAACAAAAAAGTAAAGCACTAGCCATGCAATGCCTAAATAGGATCTATACATATGGTGGAGCATGACATTTGTGAGGTTGGTGTCGTCTTTTACATCTTTCTATGTACTCCCTCTGTCGTGTAATATAATGCATTTCAAAAAATTTAAGACAACTTAAGGGAATACTCAAATGACGCATGTACCCATGGATTGAACCCAATTAAGGTGTTTATCCCCAAATTATGTGCAACCAACTTTGCCAAATCTGAGCATGGGCACCATATAGAGTGCCTTATATTTCAGTACAAATTTTAGAAGGTATAATGCAATGTAACAGAGGAACTACTCATAGTATGTTAGATCCTCTTGGTCGATCTTCAGGTGTGATACAACGCAAATGATAATTTAGGGCCTGTTTTGGACTACTCTGCTCCATGTTTTTTAGCCCCACTCCACTCCAGGAAAAAGATGGAGTTGTGACAGCATCTGGGACTGCTCCACGAACTCTGCTCCATGAACTCCACAGTCCAGCTCCACAAAAAACCTGGAGTTTGTGGAGCACCACTTTAGGTGCTCTCACAACTTCACCTTTTTTCTTGGAGCAGAGTTGTATGGTGCTGAGCCTGTTTGGCTAAAAAACGTGGAGCGGAGCTGAAAAATGTGGAGTGGAGCCCCTGCTCCAGAAACTTCAGTTTTTTATGGAGCTACCCCATGGTGGAGTTTGTAGAGCAGTCCCAAACAGACCTTTAAATAAATAATGGGCACGACTATGAACAGTAAAACAATCGGAATAGAACAACTCTAAATAGATTACAGATAGATAGATAATATTTTTAGGAAAAAATTGATAATATTTTTAGGAAAAATTTGGTAATTGTTTCTTTATTTAAAGTAAATTAGTTATCAACTTTTAGAGATTTAACCAATTTTTTATTATTTTTGAAATATAGAAAACCACCTTCGGAACCAGCTAGAGGACTAAATTTGTCCGGTTTAATAGATGGGATAAATCTTGTACTGTCCTATACCGTTTATCGCTATTGTCCCGACCATTTCCATATTTATGGGAAAAAACAGTAACGGGATGGGATCGACCAGGACTGGCACTGGAAACGAGATGGAGGATTTCCCGCCCGTATTTGCAGGATACTATTTTTTACAAGGATGATCCTTTATTCATCCTGTTTACATGCATATTCTTTGTTGCAACTTGGTATATTATGAAAAAAAAATCAACCCCTTTGGGACAGACCTTCCCTGTGGTTTTGCCTTAAGAAAAGGATCTCAACAAGGGTCGAGAAAAAGGGATCGCAGGGTGTAGGCTGGACTGCCCAGGAACACGTCGAAAGCAACATAACTCAGCGAGTTCCTTTTTTCTAGAGGGGTCTTGAACCCTGGTTGGTGGCGTCATAACTGGATGCAAAATCACCACAATAGCGGTGTGTTCTCAACTTTGATATTATCAAATACAGTCTCTAATGTTAATGCCACATTCTTTGTGCAGTAAAGAAGATCAGTTTGCTGAGCCCACTGAACTTGATCCTAGTAAAACGACAATGCTGGGTGTATGTCTCAGTCCACTTTGAACCTGATAAATGATAATTGACAACAAATTCCTTAATGCTTATTATCAGGCACCCTTCCTGACCCTATGTTGCATTTTCAGTGCTTAGAACAGTTTGAGGATAAGAAAACCACTATCGGTAACTGGATCCAGTGCCGGGAAGTTCTAGACACAGGAGTTGTTTGTGGCAAATGGCGGAGGTAAATACTCCATTCCAAATTGCTGTTTTTCTCATATCTATATGTTTGTGTTAACATATAGCATTAATATGTTTATATGCCTTTTTTACTGCATGGACCTTTTGCAGGGCGCCATTGTTTGTTGTTCAATCAAACGACTGGGACTGTTCATGTTCAGTTGTTTGGGATCCTTTCCATGCTGATTGTGCTGTTCCGCAGGTACATTCTGTTAATACTTTCCTTTGATTTGGTTGTATTTTTTTATGTGGCCTTGTGAGAAAGAGCTGTTTGTCTTATGTGATCATCAAACTGCATTAGGATTAGGGCAAGCTATTCATGACTGATGGTACCTTGTGTGGTTGGTTATGTCTATATTATTATTTTCACTGTTGGTATCCCTTCTTTGGATCTTTGGACGTTTTATTCATGTGCAAGTGCAATTGTATTTCCACGACACCTATTTGAAAAATTAAAATAACTCTTGAATCTATGGAAGAAGTGATAACACCATCATTGCTACCTTGCATTGTTTGTACCATATTAAGGGCCTGTTTGGCCCGGCTCTCCCGGCTCCGGCTCCAGCTCTGCTGCTCCTAGGCAAAATACCGGAGGAGCCGGAGCCCTTTTCATGCCGGCACAGTAGCGCACAGTCCATATGGAGCCGGAGCCCTGCGGGGCGGAGCCGTGCCAAAGACGCTCTAAGTAACTAAAACTATTATTTTTTTGAGAAACTGATTTCTCGATTATCTTTTCCATTGTAGGAATTGGAGACCGCTGAAGTTCGCGAGCAACTGAAGTACATAAATAAGGTATGTTCATTGTGATCTTGGAAGTGGTTATGATTGGCACTTTCTTTGCATCACATGCAAGCTAGCGCTTTGGCCCAGCATTTGAACATGATAAACAGGGAACTGACTACATTTTTCTTCCTATTTTTGACCTGATAAACTAATGTGATGTGCTTTCTGCAATAAAAATTGAACGCTTCCTATTTATGGAAATGTTTCTTTTTGTGATACCTCACAACATATGAGGACCGTGACCATTGGTTGGTAAAACTTCTATGAATATAGTATAGAAGCTTTTTCTTATCACAGACATTAGTATCACTTAAATAAATCTAGTTACTCTAGATTTTTTTTACACTAGTGAAGTTTGGATATTTTTTATGTCTAAATTTTCTCTTTAGTAATGCCATGTAACAAATCAAAATTCGCATCTAGAAATATTTGTTTACACATGAAGTTTGGAAGTTTTTAAATGAAGCTGTCTAAATTTTCTCTTTAAAGTAGTTTAACCCAACCAGACGATCATATGTCCACAGAGGCAAATGATCTGACACCATTCAATCCTGGTTGGTCAAATACATCTAATCCTGTGCTACTATGTGTGTTTTGATGGTCTTAACCACTTACCTGAGCTCAACATATTTTCATAAGAAAAAGAAAAAGAAAAGGCTGCAGTCCAGGAATTATCTGTTCTTGTGGAGTGACTGAAGTTCAATCAGTTGCATGAAAGTGATATCTAGGAGTAAGCATTTATTTCAGTTTTATGTGCTTATCACGAAGGAGTTCAATGACTATCTACGTGAAGAGAAATTGAACTCCGTGTGACCGTGTCCCCAGCAGCTTTTCCTGCGGTGTTGTTACAGCTACAAGTAATGCTACTAACTTCATTTTATCTTTGCTACAAGTAATGCTACAAGTAAAAAACAATTTTGCTCCATGTTAACCCCAGCAGCTTTTCCTGCGGTGTTGAACTTCAATTAACACTAATGCTACTAACTTCATGCATATCTCATCTAGAAATGCCTATACTTTATGATTGACACTAATATGCCTATATAACAAGATTAGTCCTAACAGAAACAAGTTTAATTGACTCTTTTTTTTTATCTTTGTAGCTGAAGAGTCGTCTAGGTGACAGCAATCAGAAACGCTGAAAAATGTGCACCCATCCTCAGATGTGAGTTGTGCATGTGAAGGTATCATTTAAGTCTAGGAGGTAATAAAATTTCTTAATTTCTATCCTACTCCTGTGAGGTGTTTTGCTTGCTTTTTATACCAGGTTTTGCCTACAGACTAGATGAGGAAGCATTTTTTTTTTCAAATAGGGAACTGCTGTCCTGCAGATCGGCGTCGATACCATGGGTCATTTTTTTCTCGGATGAAGAGATGAAATCCGTGTCTATGCACATAAAAATGCTCCTTCCAACACCCAACATACAATATACGAGTTTTGGTGTCTTCTTGTCATCTTGTGTAAACAAAAGAAAGGAAAGGCCTTTTAAAAACATAAGCCATAGCAAAAGCAAAGAACAAAAAAAGTAAAATACTCGGATGCTGCTGGAGAAAACTCGGTGAGATGGAAATGGAAAGGTTTTCTTGTTTGGAAGAACAGGGACCCCAAGGCTGTATATTTTATCGTGCAACCATGAAACGCCGATCGATTTTGTTATTATGGGGTGTAAACTGGTGTGTGTCAGTGTGTTTACAGTTTTGTCACCTTCGCTGCAAGAATTTTGATCACTGAAGAATGCATCACAATGTTATAGTTGTTTAATTTCTTTTACAAAAAGCTGAATCACAATGTATAGTTGTTGCTAGCTCGAGTAAAATAGCCGTGGTTCAATGTACAGTGACCTCTGGAGGGATTACGCACACGAAACGTGCATGTCACGGTGTTTGGCGTGCCTGTCCTGTCCCGTAGCGGTGCTCTCCGATCCGACCCCGGCCTCGGCCTGCAGCCGTGGTCTCCGGGGCTCGGCGGATAGTTCTGCTCCGGAGTCGTGTCATCACGATCACGATCACGATGGGACCGTGCGGCTGGGCTGGCGCCGCCGGTACCTTCACGCCACGCGCCTCTCGCTCGTGAAAAACGCGCATCGGGTCGCCGGCCCGAACGGTCGAACGCGCACGCCTTTGTGTGCATCTCTATATGATGATTAGGGTATCTGGACACCGGACGCTGCGTGACTTCATGTTGTCTATATATTCACAAATATTTGATACTCTTATGTCGCCTAAAAAAAATCCCTACTCTGCAAGCTGCTAGCTGCAAACGGCACACATTGTTTCGCTCTCCTCCATGGCCGCACCCCAGCCTTCAATCAAGGTCGGTGCCCCTGGCGACTCGCCATGGCCCACCGCCGCTCACCTCTTCTCCTCCATGGCCGCACCCCAGCCTTCATTCACTCCCTCGCCTCTTGCTCATCACCGTGGCCCTCGCCACCGCCATGACCTTCGTCCAGCTCCGCTTTTCCTCACCGTCGTGACCACGGCGTCCGCTGCCACGCGGTTGCTCTCCAAGCTCCCTAAGCCTGTGGTGTTGCTCATATAATCGGATGGCTTTCGCTTCGGGTATCAGTACAAGGTCCCTCTCCCGCACATCTGCCTCCTCATCGCAGGCGCCTGCGTCGTCCTCATCACCTCCTCCTGTGACTAGAGACGGCAAGGACGCCGTGGACGTGCCGTACTTTGCGACCGCTTCGAGGCTTGCCAGACATGGTGGTCGCCGTCCACTAGAGTGTCGCGACAGACATGTTGCAAGCGTATGTTTCAAGTGTTTCAGGGGCTTCATATGCATGTTGCAAGTATTTCATGTGGATGTTGCAAAAGTAGATCGGGATGCTGCATACGTTGCAATGGTTATACACATATGTTGCAAGTATCTTGTCGGTGTTTCGGACCGGGGGGTCCTCAACCGACTAGTGAATTTGTTCTGCGTGCTCCCGATCCGGATGGTGATGCAAAGAGACACAAGGTTTATACTGGTTCAGGCAATCAAGGCCCTACGCCCGCCCCGAGAGATCGATCTTGTATTCCTTGCACCGAGGTGCTCGTAGTAGGGGGTTACAAGCTAAAGAGAGAGGAGCTGCTGGTCCTAGGTCTCGGCTGGGGGTGTCGTGCGGGCCGCTTGAGACGTTGCTCAAAGCGGCAGGAGTGTCTGCGTGTGTGTGTGTGTTACAAGGTGTCCCCCTTTAAACAACCCAGTCCTCTCCTTTTATAGCTTGAAGGAGGACTAGGCGGTACATGAGCTAACTATACTGGCGTCGTGTGAGCAGAGGCGGCGTGTCCGAGCCTGTAGCCTGCTTCTCGTGGCGGTGTGGCCGTCGGAGTGGTCCATCCTTGAGTCTTTGGGCGGCGTGGTCATCCCATCGATCTCGTAAGCGTCGTGGGAGCCCCGGAATGCCTCGAAGTGGGCCTTGGGCGGTGAACGTGCAAGCCATCGTGGGACGGGTGTGTGCGAGGCCGAGACTTGGTCGATGCCGAGGCCGGCATCAATGATGGGGGTCTCGGTGAGGCACGAACCCCAAGATCGCCGAGGCCCCGTGTGTCTGATGCCGAGGCCTTGAGCGGGTGGTCGATCATGGGGCGGCGTTTGAACCAAGTGGTCGGTAATCCCCGTCGTACCTGTCCCGGCCGGTATGGCGCCGATCGTGGACGAGTGGTAGGACACGGTGGCGGTAATCCCGTCGTGCCCTATCTCGCGCCGGTATGGCGATGATCGTGGACACGTGGTGGGAGGACACGGTGGCGGTAACCCGTCGTACCTGTCCCGGCCGGCGGTATGGCCGATGCAACCTCGGGTCGCGTCGGTCATCCTGTGGCGTTGAGCCACCGTCCGGCTGAGATTGCGGGAGTGGTTGAAGCATTATTGAGACATGACGAGTTGTTGGGAGGGTCGGCCGAGGCGGGGGGCGACGGACCATGGCCGAGCCGGCCTCGAGCGACACGGAGAATGAGGCCTCGCGCGAGACGGAGATCAGGTTCCTTGCCGAGGCCTTGTGCGAGACGCCTCGCGTGATACGGAGAATGTACCCCTGCCGAGGCCTTCCCTGGATAGCCTCGGGCGAGACGGAGACGGCGCCCCCTGCCAAGGCTCGGCGCCCCCTGCCGAGACCCACTGGGAGCCTCACAGGCGAGGCGGAGTTTGTTCCGAGACCTCCTGCTCGAGGCTCGAGGCGAGGTGGAGGATGGCTCGGTCGTGGCAGGTGAGGGGCCCACGGCTTACCTTCTAGCTTTATTTTGATGTTTGCTTGGGGTACCCCGTTATAAGGTACCCGACAGTAGCCCCCGAGCCTCGGGGTGAGTGCGTGCACTCTCCCTGAGGGTTCGTCGAGGCTGGGTTTATGCCTGCTCCGTAGGAATTGGTTTGTTTTCTGAGGTTCCGGTGGGTGTAGCCCCCGAGCCCCTAGAGGAGTGAAGTTACTCCTCCTGGGGCTTTCTCCACTTTCGTGTTTGAGTGATCAGCTCTTATTGCATTTGCCGAGCCTATAAGCGCAAGTTCGGGTTGCGGGGGTCTCGGCGAGGTTGCAAAAAAAAGGCCCTCTAGCCTCCGCATGGAGCGAGAGGTTCGTCGTGGGTCCCCCGACGTTGGGTATGTCCTCCGCTTCCTTTCGCTCGGAAGGAGGGTGGAATGTGCCATGCTACCCTCGATGGGCGCGAGCGTGGACACTTTCGGTGAGTGTTATCGGGTAGTCCGAGTGGAGGCCCGAGCCCCGTTCGCTAGGGGACGGCTAGCGGTCCGAGACGCACTCCAAAAGTACGGAGGATTTCTCTAGTGGGTGCCAAGGCCGTCATTGGGCCTCGGTGGCTCGATGCCTCCCCACGGTGGGATCCCATTCGGATACTTTCCCTGTCGGTCTCGGACATGACTTAGGACGCCTGAACGATTGTTTGTTGGCCTCAGGCCATTTGTAGGCTTCGCTCAAGTCGCCCCCGACTGACTCTGTTCAGGGGCGACTGTCGAAACCTCTTTGAGGCCCAGCCTTGAACCCTCGGACCGTGAATGGGCTCGGTGCCTTTTATCGTGTTTTTTGTCTTGGGTTTTAGGTGCAAGAGGAGCCTCGAGCCTCCTTTGGAGCAAGAGGATGGTCGGGGTCTTGACTTTTTTCATTCGCCCTCACATATCTTTTTTCGTTCGGACGGAGAAGGTTCGTTTGCCGAGCCCATTCTGGTCTCGGCAAGGTCGCAGGAAGAGCCCCTAGCCTCTCCTGCAGAGAGCGAGAGGGCCGTCGGGAGTTCCCCGACTTTTTATACGCCCCTCGCATGATGAGGGTTTGTTTGCCGAGCCCATTCTGGTCTCGGCAAGGTCGCAGGAAGAGCCCTAGCCTCTGCTGACAGAGCGAGAGGTCATCGGGAGTTCCCCGACTTTTTTATCGCCCTCTCGCGTGAGGGTTTGTTTGCCGAGGCCCTTTGGGGCGCGAGCCCGGTCGTGGGGTCTCGGCATATTTGCGGGAGGAGCCCCTAGCCTCTGCAGATAGGGCGAGAAGGCCGTGGGGGTTCCCCGACTTTTTATGCGACACTCGCTTCCTTTTCGCTCGGAAGGAGGGGTGGAATGTGCCTCGCTACCCCCTCGATGGGCACGAGCGGTGGCACTTCCGGTGAGTTGTTATCGGGTAGTCCGAGGGAGGCCCGAACCCGTTCGTTAGGGGACGGCTAGCGGTCCGAGACACACTCCAAGAGTACCAGAGGATTTCTCTAGTGGGTGCCGAGGCCGTTCGTTGGGCCTTGGTGGCTCGGTGCCTCCTCACGATGGGATCCCATTCGGATACTTTCTGCCGGTCTCGGACACGACGACTTTGGGCGCCCCAAGCGTTTCGCTTCGCTTAGGTCTCGCCCCGAATAGGCTCGCCATGCGTCACGCCCTCGACTCTGTTATCCCGGGCAAATTGTCGAAACCCTTTTGGGGTCCAACCTTGAACCCTCGGATTGTAATAGGCTCAGAGCCGGTTCCTTCCTATGAAAGGAACAGTGCCGGGAAATATTTTCCTATTGGCTCGGCCATGAGTAGCGCGCTTTTGAGGCGGTTTTATTGGGAGTCGAAACGTATTTTGCGCCATAGTGGCCGATCGTGGCGTGGTGGATGGGACGAACCGTCCTCGCATTTAATGCGGAGACGTGGGCACGTGGGCGGTGAAATCGGCTCGTGGTTAACCGC